AGACTGCACTTACAATGAAGCAACCGATCCATATTTATACTTGATGAACCGGTGCAAGGATAAGCATTACGTCGGTTGGCATGGGATGCCATAACHGACTCCTATAACTTCCCTAGTAAAACTAACTGCATGCATACATATTACGTGTCCCATGACACTCCTTTTCTTACATAATTAAATAATAGATAAAACATAAAATTAATCCAAGTTTTTTGACATTTAACTATTCCAACATTTTATTCCTTTACTTATTTTAGATAAGTATTTATCTTTTATTTTCCTAGTTTAATTAGGATAATTCTTGTATGTATTTAAGGACCTTTTTGATTTTTCATTGAAGACACTTTTTGATCAATAAAATTTCCTTTCAGTGATTCTCATAAAATCCTTGAGCGTTCCATTGTAAAAACTCGTCACTTTTTGGGTTTAGATGTCTGTCGGCCCATCTGCGCCTTCATACTGCATCACTTTCATAGTACGTGCATTAGATCTGCCCATGACCTCAACTACTGATGCCTTACCACCTACATGATTCTCATAATACCACCACCGGGGTAAACTAGTAAGCTGAAAATATTACTCTTTTTGCTGTCTAGAATTACCATGGTGAGTACTTATCCATTGGGTTTGGGTCATTATCCACCTTAGCAATATCTGCAACCCCTCGCAAGCCCTTCTGTAACAAAACCAACATCAAATGTGTTCACTTAGGCACGGGCAATGATGAGATGATGTTCTTCCGTTATGGCTTTAGCAAAGGCCGTTTTTTGATTCGACATTAGTCCATCATCAACAAATTTGAAACAAGAAAGTGTATACCTTGGCATGTACAAGTTGGGAACATTCGAGTGCCTAGCTAGTTCGTCCCACATTTCCTTTAATTCACCATAATTAACAACAACCGATTGATTGTTTACGTTGCTTGCAATTGCTAAGCCGGTCGGGACGTCAATTCGTGAATCCGGGTAATTGACAAACGTTCACAGAGGTCATCCCACATATATTTTACATTATCAAGTTGACAGCTGGTTGAGAGTACTATAAATCCAATCCACAAGCATATAAAACAGTTTACTGTGTGCCCTTCGCCACTTTTGTTATGGTCCCATCTAGGAATCCAATTCATGGTAGTTGTTATCTTGCAAGATAATTGGACATATTTTTTATTTGTCCTCCATCAGAAGGATGCAAAAATAGTAGGTAGAGATCATGACAAAGATCTTAAAGATTTTGGTAGTACCGTCATTTAACATGGGAAACAAGATGGCAAGAATCAAATTTCAGGATTGACTGTTAATGGGTAATGAAGAATAGAGAGAGAAATGCGCTCTTCTTCTTGGTAATCGCATTGATACCTTAGAGGCTAATTTACAGGAGAATGCTTTCTTTCATTTCACATAGGCAATTGGTCATGGCGTCTGTTCCTTCCCTTCAGCGTCCAGGAGCAGAACTTACGTAAATAGGACACTAAATAAACGAAGGAGATGCAACAAATATACACCTAATATTCTAAGCAAAAATAATATATACCATATCCCTTCCTCTAATAGATGGTATTGCAAAATTAATATAAAAGTACGTAACCAAGATCAGGCAGGATAATCTAAAGATACCAAGTCCAAATTCCTTTTTTTCCCCTCTCCCAGAGGTGCGTCAACCCGATTCACCCCCTCGATTGCTCAATTTACGGAAAATTATTTACTCGTCTTCTTATGAGTTTATAGGTCTGGAAGGAAATCGAAAACTGTAGAAAAGTAAGTGTATTCAAAAAATAAGGGCGATTACCGCTAGCTGGGAAGTTTGGGGATCAAATCCTGTGCCGCCAGATGCAAAGCTTACACCAGTTAGAAGCTCTTTATCCTCAAGGGATGGATCAAGATATGCTGGCATAATCTCTTTTATTCCCAGTTGTTCAACTGAAAAGCCAATGGAAATATGCTTATTACAATTTACCCCAAAAGAATAAGTACCCTATAGTAGTATGCAAATTGCAATATTAATCAAGTACAAAGTCTAAACTAAATTAGTTAAAACAGGCTAAAGCAAACAAGAATTCTTTGCCTTCAGCTACTGATCGGAAGCACAATGAAAGTCATTCCTACTCGAACTCCAGGTTTTGGACCAAACGAAAGAGACTAACACATACGTTTATTCGGTTGAATTAAAACATCACACTAATATCTAGATGACAAAGATCTCAAAACAAGGTTTTTCAAGTCTTCTAAGAATTGAAATTTTTAAGTATTAAGTGGAACTTAGAGGCTAATTTCCTTGTATTAGTGAACAAATTAACCATCCTTTAAAGATATAACAGCCATTTATGAGAATCCAGAAATTTGATATCAACACGAAATATTGTGGATCACACTAGTGAAGTAGCTAGGAGATAAACGTCGACTCCATCATTCAAGATGGATGTAACATGTAAAATAATTGAAATGCAATGAATTTCCATGAGCATCAGGAACTTCAATGCTGCTTATATAAACCGCCACCATCCCATCATTGTCGTAAAAAGTTGTTGAAAATCATGGACGATATTTTATAGATCTTGAGTTTGAATTGTTTGTCATTGTTTAGTGAATTAGCCATTATTATATATGGTTTGCAGGTTATCTAAAACCTATTGTTTTGATTTTCTCATTTTAATTAGTCTGTTAATACGTTTATATTTTAAGATTCTGATAATCGAATGAGGAATGGAACTTCTAGTATTCATCTATTGGTGCACGTTCGATATATACTCGTCAAATTTTAACACTTCTATATAATTTTAACACTTCTATATAAATTATCTTAAAATAATTGCGATATATCCATGCCTCCGTTCATGGCCACCTTCTGGTTAACATGTTGTCTAGATATTTCTGCCTTGTTTTGTTGTATTTTTGGTTAAGTTTTTTGCATCTTTTTCCTTATGTGGAGGAAACGACACACTACTTAAAACCGGACTATCATCGACAGCCAAAACTGTCGATAATCCATCAGTGAATTAGAATATAGTTTATACGAACAAATATTAGTGAATAATTGGGCACAACGAGAGACGAGAATGGGCATGGTAAGCAACGAAATGCTTTTGAGAGTTGAAAAGAAATATAGATCTGGGACTTTCAAAACAAGGGGTACCTAGTACCAGAATATTCGTCCATCAACTAGATTTTTTGGCGTATTTACAAAATTTTATAGATTTGTTTTAGTTTTCGATAAAAGATTCGCCAGGCTATTTTCAATTGATATTTCACTTCTTAAGAAGTTGGATGTCAAAAACTAAAACCGTCAACTCTCTGTATCTCCAGAGTATTTATTCTCTCGTTCAATGTCAATAAATATGAAGAGTTACAACTTTTACCATCAATCTTTTGAAGCATTAATGCATATAATGTATTTAACTCAACGACTTGTAAACGTAGACGTATAAGGGGTTGTTTGACAATTGCTGAATGGTTTGGTGCAGAATGATTAAGTGGTCAGAATTATTAAAGACTCTCATGATATAGTACAAAATGAAATATAATCGTTTGGTAATTGTGTACAATGAAATTAGGGCTCTTAATGGTTAAGAGAAATCCATGATACAAAATCATTCCGAGGGTTTTAGAACTATTAAAGAGGTAGATTTTTTTTTGCCAAACAAGATTCAGTTCTTAACAATTCAGAGATTACCTCTTAATAGAACTATTAAGAGATAAACAAACAACCCCTAACTAAACACCGTTAAATATTAGTTTTTTGTTTGAAGCAAAACTTCTGAATTACGAAAAGTAGGTTATTTGACACTGATAGTTTACGTATGTGTATCATCAAGTAAATCCCTTTTCATTTATTGTATTAGAAAGCAGTCTAAGGGGCTGTTTGGCAGTTGATGAATGATTTAGTTCAGAATAGTTAAGAGGTTAGAATGGCTAAGAGGATCAGAAGGGTTAAATGCTGAATGAAACAAGGTTGTTTGGTAATTGTTCTCTGAATGACAACAAATTACCATTTTAACCCTCAAGAAATACAATCAATTCTAAAAAGAAAATTAGCAATAAACACCATCAATTTCCAAAGAAAAATGTTAAATTCCCTAAACCGAACCCTAGACAGGAGAGGACGCAGCAGTAAGGAGGCTGTGGAAGGCGACCGGAGACGGCGACGTGAGGCGGCGACGTGAGGCGGCGACGAGCGGCGGCGACTAGATGCAAACCGTAGACAGGAGAGGACGCAGCAGTAAGGAGGCTGTGGAAGGCGACCGGAGACGGCGACGTGAGGCGGCGACAAGAGGCGGCGACGAGCGGCGGCGGCGAGGCGGCGGCGATCGTAGGGTGGGGGGAGGGGCTGTGAGCGATGTGTGAGGAATGTTGGGAGAGAGGGCAAATATGGAAAAAGAGAAGTCTGAATGGTTTAGAGACCCCTTAGATGCAAAATGGTTAAAAGGGAAAATGTAACCATTCAGAGCCATTTTTTTTGCCAAACAACCTTGACCTCTTACCGATTAAGAGGTTGGCTTTTAATGTAACCATTAAGAGCCAAACAAACAGCCCCTAAGAAAAAGCTAGTAGAAAAGAAATGCCCATCACTCACTTATGTTGTAAAAAGCCAGCAAAAAAACAAATAAATTGAAGAGAAAAATTAATGCATGCATGTAATTAAGTCATAAAAAATGTTGAAAATGCAGGCTTTACCGAGCATGTCCGCCGGTGTCTTATTATTGGAAAATCTTCCGGTTGGTATTCCGGCAACAAAATCCTTTCCGTAGGGAGCAAAATTGGCTTTAATAAAAGTGTGTAGATTATTGTTGGCCCCTTGATCCACTATTGAGTCCCCAAATGCTATAACTGCCGGCACGGTCACATTTGCCGGCAGCGTCACCCGTGCTCCGCTACGATCAGCCACCAAAAGAAAAGAAACCAAGAAAATAGTGAGCGAAGATGAAGAAGAATAAGAAAGTTTCACCAAAAGAGGCTGCATCGTCTCTGTCAAGTGAATGTACAGAAAACAACTGCAAAGGAAACAAATATGAAGACAGAGAAGTGGAAGTTGAAATTATCTATCTATAAGCGTCTCTGCATGTGTCTGCACATATATATACATATATATACATATATATCTATATATAAGTGGGATTAGGCCAAACTGTTTTTATAAGAAATGTAACACCACCTAAATAACATTGAACTTTCACAGTAAAATACTATGAAGATAACCTTCACGGCATTTTTACCGTAAAAGTTCGAAGTTTTTTTTACTTTCACAATGTTTTGTTGTGAAATTTTAGTATTATTTTGTGGTCTCACGATTCTCATGAAAACAGGTTGGTCTAACGTGAACCCAACTTTATATATATATATATATAGACTTGGGATCATGTGAGACCAATGATTTTTCATGAGACCCGTAAGACCAATTCTCAACTCTTGGATTAGATTTACAATCGTCAGATCTGAACATTTATAAACGCCACGAGACTTCTCACTAATTACGAAATTGCCACCTTGCAACTTTGCAACCATTAGATCATTAATTCATAAATTTGATCAATGAACATAAATTGGTCTTACCGGTCTCACGAAAAACATTTGGTCTCACGTGAACCCAACCCTATATATATATAGGAGTGATCATATGAAAACCGCCTTCATTTGTGTAAACCGTGCAAACCACCTTCATTTGTCGATTTCATTGTTTAATCTTATGAAATTTTTTCATGAAATTGTTTAATCTTGTGAAATTGTTTCATATAATA